TCATTATTAACACCATCTATTCAGCTCATGTGCTGGCAATATTGGATGTTGCACAACCTGCACTTGTTTATTGTCAAAACAGGTACCCTGTCTTGCTTAGCCCAAGCTCAAYTGACCAGTTCAGTAACACTCTTAAGTAGCACATCTGCTTCTATGTGTACATTTTGTTATCAGTATATTGCATATTTTTTCATGTTTTTCAAGCCTGCATAAAGAGCGTGACACTTTTCAGGACCTTCATATTATTGCTAATTCTCAGTTTTCACTGCATTACTTCTGCCTGAGGCAAATAAATTTAGGTAACTATGGATTTGCTTAGGACACCTAATGGAAAGCAATGGTAACGAAGATCATTCTATTGCTGTATTCCTCTCACTGAAATTATATCAACATGTTCATTGTAAATAAAAACAACAGAAGGCAAAGAGATAGCCAGAGATATATCCCTTTCCATCTTCTTGACAGTTTTGGAAACAAAGAAAGAAAAAAAAATAGCTTTCTGAGGTATCAAAGCCACAAATGGAAAAGCTACAGCAAGTACTGGGAAGTCTTTAGTAAGAAACAGTTTCTGCCAATTACAGTAAGTCAGAACTACCTTGAAAGCTTATGCTGATTTGAACTGTTGCAACCAAGAGAAATGATCTCACGGGTAGTCATGTAATATCTTGGATCACATAAGAGCCTTGTATTTAATCTAGGCACCTCAAGTGTTCAAGAAGAACTGCAGCATTCAAAGTTGTAAACTTCTGATTTGATTAAGCTCTTTGTGCTAACTCAGATTTGCTAGAACCTTTTTTCTTTTCTTTTTCTTTTTTCTTTTTTTCTTTTTCTTCATTTCTGCTGCTAGCTGGTGGTGATTCAGGTGCCTGGTTGTTCTTGCACCTTCTATGTCGATGGCTGCAAGCTGTGACACTATCCACACATCCACATGGTGCTTTGTGTTCCTTAAATCACCACAGAGGTGAGCCACAACTAGTTGCCAACTGCAGCTCAAACCAATGGCCCAGTGTCAGCTGGCCAAGCTGACCTCCTCTGGCACTCGCTTGTACTCTAAAACCAGCAGGTTTTACCWATGTACAGGTAAAGGTGCTGAACAGCTATGGACTGCTCTGTGGTGAGGAGCTCTCAGAGCGTGTGGTGGGTCCTGCTGCACAGAGAGCTTCGTAGGGGCTCCTGAGGAACCACAACGGTGGTAGGTCGGAGACTCAGGTCTGCAGGAGGAAGCTGCAGYGCAGCTCAAGGGTCAGAGCTTCTCACCACCACCAGGAGCTTCACCTTGTCTAGTTGGAGAGCTGGGTTTAGTTTCTTTATTCACAGCTAAGTAGCACATAGGCCTCTCTTTTATTTGAGCTGAAGAATGAGACTAACCCTCTTACATTCCCAGGAAACACCAGCGAGTTCAAAGGGAAACGGGAAGAAATGCTCTGSCATTGGTCCAACGTTTGTGGAAGGGAAGGCTTATTATTTTTGCTCATGGCTTCCTGGACAGGCAGCCAGGTGCCGGGGCACRGCCAGCATTGCCCTCAGCCCCACACCTCTTGAAAAACCCTCACGAAATGCCAGCTGTGGAAAGAACCCCCCGACTTTGTGTTTGAGGTTACAGCGGCGCAGAGAGCTCCGGGGCCTGCCCGCACAGCGCTGCCCGGCCACAGGTCCGGAGGAAAACCCGTTTTGTCCTGGCCGTTTCCAACCCCTCGTCGCACCCTTTATTACCCTCTTCAACATTTCCCCCACTTAGTTTGGGATCCCATCGGTCCCAGATGTGATGTGAACGGTAACGCCGCGACGTTAACCCTTGCGGCACCCGGGCGCGGCGCCGCCGCCGCTGCGGGCAGCGACAAGGACAGGACCGGGGCGCGGGTCGCAGCAGGGACAGCGACCGGGACAGCG